TGTGTGTGTGGGGGGGGGATATTGTGATTATATAAATATACATATATATGATTATATATTCTTAGAGTACTTATCTGAGTGGACTTACTTAAGATTTTTAAACATGTACAAGATTCCTAATGTCCTGTTAGAAAGTATTTTCCCAGGCTGACCCATCAGACTTATGCATTAATCCCTGAATTCTGACCTTTTGGTTTGCTTATCAAGTTTGGTAGAAATTTCCAGAAGGGATTAGCTGTAGAACAGCGTACAGGTGATTAAGCATAAATAATATATATTAAGTGCTTAGCTCAGTACCCAGCAAGTTATAAACGCTGAACACATTTTAAACATTATTGTTATTTCTATATCAAGCTAATAAGAATGACTCATCAGACCCCAGTTGTCTTCTCCCTGGTTATTATTTTTTTTGATTTTCTACTGCCCTAATCACATTATTCACTAAGTATATGACGAAGCACAAGACTTGAATATGCTAAAGAAATAAATACACATTGGGAACTGGTCAATAACAGGCAGAAAGAAGAAAAGGGATTTGCTTAGGACTATTCTCGGATTTCCTGATGCTCAGACTGGTGGTTTGTACGTATATGTATCTTTCTAGCATTTTACAGTTTAAGCAACATTTTAATTATAATTCATTAAATGGCTTTATGTTTAAGGGCTCCATTTAGGTCTCACCTTTATGATTTTTGCCATTTGTGTATACCACTTATACTACTAATTACCTAATATGTTTCTTTAAATGACTCAGAACGTATGTTATAAAAAATACCTCACATATGTTTTAACTTTCACATCAACCTTTCAAAGTAAATTTTATTCCCATTTGTATAGGTGAGGAAACACACTTAAAGTAATAAAGTACCTTACTGTAAATCTCAGAAGTAATGAAAGGCAAAGACTAAATTAAATTCAAACTTGAGTCTCTTTGTCACTGTTGCTCATGAGGATCACTCAGCTTTACTGCACCTAAATTCATGTTGGTTCCTTTTTCCCAATGATGGAGCTCTCCACATATTTCCTCTTTTCTCATTTTTTCTGTATCTCAAAGACCTCTTCCCAGATCATTTGACAAAATACCTACAGTGATCAACATTGAATATGTGGTTTTTCTCTGAAGTGTAAATAAAATTTCAGTTTCTTTTATGAGAGGAGGTTTTTGAAAGGTATTTGTGAAAATGGAAACACTTTATTTCTTTACAATTTCGTGCTTCTCTATGAAGAGAATGGATTCTCAAGAGAGTTCTTTGCTTGATAGACCGATTACTGGATGTGTCACTGAATTAGAGGTTTAGAAAATTCAGTATTGTCCCGCCTGGTGCAAAAGTATTGGGGAGAGGGGTGAAGGCCGGGAGCCCAAAGGCTGGAGGTCTCTTTGGAGAGAAAAGAGCCAGCGGGAAAATAGATTACATGTGAATGTAGTTCAAGGCATCGTTTGTCTGGTGATGCAGAGCAAGCATGAAGACATCTTAATCGCCATGCCATTTCCTTTATTTACATGGCTGTCAGTGGAAGAAAATCTTTGAAGAGAGTAAGGGGAGCAGGGGGTGGCTGCAAACCATGCAGATACTTTTTGGAAGAAGCAAAATTGTACCATAGGATTTTATAAATTGGCCTAATAAATAGGCCATGTCACATAAATATGGTATCTCTTTCTACACAGAGGGCCTCAAAGTGGTTTTATATTAGTTCAGTAAACATAAAACTGTTCAGCCATGTACTATGCAGTGTCTGCACTGTTATGCAGCATATAGACCACATGTTCAGGAATCCAGTTTGGATAGCCTCTAGAACAAAAAGAAACTGCTAATCCTTTTGTCATTAAAAAAAAAACAAAAAAAAAACCACTATATGTATCAAACTCAAGAACATAAAGAATAAAGTTATGACTTGAAGGAAAGTAAAATGCTTTTAATAAAAGCAAATTATTAATATTTGCCTTTGTGGTTTTTCTTTAGATTTTAGCCTTTATCCTAATAAGGAATATCCCTGGATATGCCCGTTCAGTTTACAGTTCATTTTTTGCTTGGTTTGGAAAAATTTCATTAGAGGTTAGTACATTAATATTTTGTTCTATTTTACACAGCCAGTGTTTTGTGTGTGTGTGTGTGTGTGTGTGTGTGTGTGTGTGTGTGTGTAAATCTAACATACCTTTTAAAATNAGGCAGGCCATTTTTATGGAAAAACCACTGGAGCAGTTTGGGTGGACCCACAAAATTGGGTGGGGTGGGGCAAACAGTGTTACCTAGGTTGGTGGAAATCAGATATGGCGCCCACCTGTGCATGTAGCTGGGTGAGGGCAGAGCTGAACAAAGGAACAGTGGCTTCTACCAGCACTCCTTTCTGGGAGAGAGCTGCCCCTCCAGCCCTTGTCCTAAAGCCACACAATTCAGTTCCTCCCCATATGTCCCTGGTGCCTTCCAAGCTGCTGCCCCAGTGCTGAGCTCAGAGTAAGTGAGTCCATTAGCAAGTAAGTATACACTGTGCGTGGGCCCTGCAGGAGGACCTCCTGGGATCCAGCTGCCCTCCATCTCACTCAGCTACAATCTTCATTGGTTTTCACAGCCAGAAGTTACGGGGACTTCTTTTCCCAGCACTGGAACCCTGAGCTGGGGAGCCTGTTGTGGGGCTGGAACCCCTCGCTTCTCAGGGGCAACTTCTGCAGCCGAGATATCCCTTCTGACTTTTAATGGTCACACATGGGTGTGGGACCAGCCTGTTTTGCATCTTTGCCCCTCCTGCCATTCTCGACATGGCTGCTTCTGTATGTCCCGAGTTGTAGGGCTTCTGTTTAGCTAGACTTCAGGGGATTTCTCAATGATGCTTTTTTGTAGTTTAGTTGTAGTTTTGCAGTGGTTATTGGAGGATGTTACCTACAGTGTTTATCTACTCTGCCATCTTGACCAGAAACTAATCCATTATTTTTAATAAATAAAACCTCTACTTTAAAATTTCTTTTTCTCTTTATTTTCTAAATTGAACATAAATTCTGAACTGAATACATATACAAGTTAAATATGAAAAATAACTGAAAGCTTAGTGAAATAGGAATTTTAAAAGTTACAATAAGGTGTTTGACAGCCATCCCTGCTGTATGATCACTATTTCCAGGAAAGCATAGACCTACCCCTCGTGCTGCTTTCTTACGTTTGGGCAGCTGAGACACCAAAACAAGTGATGAGCCAGTCTTTGGGAAGTTTTTGATACAGCTTTTTAAATATCATGATAAAGTATGTAATGTTATAAATAAATAAAACTGTTTAAAACTTTCTGAGAATGCTACCTCTTTAAGGCGTAATTGTTTTTGTGAACTGATTCATGTTGTTGTTTTTTATTTAGACCTATTCCATCTGGGCTAGCAGTTGTAAAAACAAAGCAGAGTGCAACGAACTCCACCCATCTGTTTCTGTGGTACAGGTAATTATCTTGACTTAGAGACATTTTTTCCTCTTAATTCTTGATAGAATGCAGTTTCTGGTGGAACAGAAATTTGAAATCAAACTTTATAAAATATAAGTATAGTACTTAATGTTTCTGAGCCCTACCTTCCTTTCTTATAACAGGGATATTAAAATATTTTTTAAGGGTTGTTATTATTAAATGTATGGAAATGGATCAGTATTTTTCACTTGATAGGCACTTAGAAAACGTTAATTCTACTTTCATATTTGCTTTTCTTCATTTAGTTATTCAAATTTCTTCATTTAATTGGTCACAGTTATCAATTATCTACTATGTGTTAAGTACCATGCTACATGTAC